TGAAACATTATTATACTCTCTACCTTCATATAATCTTTTTTTTGGTTGTTGTTGTTGTTAATTCAGCAGAAGACAGTTGATCTTGAACATGCTTTAGAAATATGCTGGCACAGAGGAAATCATCTTTTGTAGTGAGATTGTACCAGTACAATGAAGTTGGATAGAGTTGTAATTCTAATCATAGAATCATTCAGGTTGGAAAAGACCTTCATGGTTATCTGGTTCAATCATCACCCTACTACCAATATCACCCAATGCTCTGGGAAAATGCAGTTCTTTAGCTAAACAACCACCATCAGAATAGTCTGGGTGTAATGTTGGGAGGAAATGGTCTGTGTCTCAGAAAATATATGATTAGGTTGTCCTACTGTGACAGCAATGTGCTATGACTTTATCTCCTAGGAAACCCAGTAGTTAGTGCAGTATTCAAATCCTGTGTGAATCAAAAGTTCTTAAAATAAATAAATAAATAAATCTTTGTCTGGCCAAAGATTATGGAAGCACTGTTTTACTCTAGTGTCAGAACATTTTAAGTCTGGTTCCAAATAATTAAAGGAGGAACCAAAACAGCAGCACCAACAAAAATTATTAAGAGTCACAGAAGTGAAACTAGAAGAGTATTTTTATGTAAAATAAGCACAGATTATGCATAATGCATAGCACAATCTATTAAATTTTAAATCGTGGTACAGATTATTTCATTAAATGTTGAGGTAGATTTTTTACAAACCTGGCAAATGTAGTACATAATGTTAAGAAGTATCTTCCAAAATGGGAAAAGGATTGCAACACCTATTCCCAACCCCAAATCGGCTTAGCCGTTTTTGATCTCGTAAGAGTATAATGAGATCAACTGCAAATCCAGAATAACTCCACTGAAGTCAAGAATATTTTTTTCAAAACGCTCTTTGTGTAATTGATATTTTAATTTGGGTTTCATCGTATGATTCCAGTTCCTTTTATTTTTTACTGCATTTAGTACCAATTGGGTAGGGGAAAACCCAAATCAATTGTGTATATTCTAAAGGGAATTTCTGAAAATCCACTAATAAAAGGAAGTGGTGGGCAATGTCTCTTCTTCTACTGAAATCACCTTCGTACACATTATTTGCCCAGAAGTAACTTTGGGAGGGCTTTTTATTTACTTATTGCCAGTGGTACATCCAGACTGAACTACATTGCAGATACTTAAAAAAAAAAATAAAAAAAAAATCAAGGAGAGATGCTCAGTACCTCTGTAAGATTTTCTTCTTCAAAACTTTATTTTTGGTGGCAAAAAAACAATTGTCTATAAAAATAGATTGGAATCAGAATTAGTATAGTTCTAATCCAGTGACATGCGGATCTGGTTGTACTTCTGAAGCACCTGTCCTTATGTTTTTCAGAAACATATTTCCCCCACTTCAGTTGAAGCTTGCTTGCCAGATGGTCTCTGCCTCAGGCTGTATCTTTCATTTAAACAAGAAACCAGATGAATCTCAACATTGCAGGAACAGTCTGGGATTTTTCTCTCCAAACAGATCCCAGACAGGTGTTGAAATTCTGAGATTGCCTGAGTAACATTCTGAAGACAGGCTTTTAGATTTAATAATACAGATATTGGGGATAACATTAGCTAAGGACTGTGTTTTTGAAGTGCTCTATGTGGTTGTTGGATCACTACAAAAAGTTCAGACTCATTTTAGGAGGTCTTTAATGATCTCTAAAAGTGACTGCTATTGTTGAATTTACCCTAGTAGGACACAAACCTTATGGGAAATTTAACAGGTACTTCCATTAGCAATACAGTATGTTCAACAACATGCTGAACACAACAGTGATTAAACAAGTCAGTATCTCAGTCATTCTAGTGACCACGTGTGGTGGAGTTTGTCATGTATAAACATGCTGCTGGAATTCCGCCCAATTCTGCCCTCATAAACACTGGCCCAATTGTATTAACAGTAGTGAAGTTAGGCTGCATTTCTGTGTTTAAAAGCTAAAAGTCTAAATATGAAAGTTTTGTGTACATGTATGTTATATATGCTTTCCATATGTAATGCAATAGTGCAGTCATGAACATGAGAAACTTTCTGTTAAGTGTGTTACCTTTAGATTGGCATATAATTTCTGAAAACATTCCAAAATTGAGAAAGTCTGTGCTATTGCTAAGGAACATTCTGAATTGAATTTGCTGTGGTTTAAGTACAAGGGAGGTGTTTCATTCATCCACGTTATGTTTCTTCATATGCATGAGCTTCCCTCTGGTGGATAGTCTGTAGTTTGCACCACCATTGAGCATTTTTAGACTGCTAATGTGTTTGGGCTGCTACACTGAAATGATAATTGATACTTCCAGCTTTTGCTGAGAATTATACTGAGAATCAGAATTATACTGAGAATTATACTGAGAATCAGAATTTCACTCTGAGATGCTGAATCTTTGGGTTAACATCCTTTGCTCAAAGCACTGCCACCATTCCATGCATTAAGAGCATGTCTGTAACAATTTACAGAATAGCTGATGCATGGGAAATCCATATTATGAGTAACTTATATGAAGAACAGTCCCAAAAATGCTTTTAAAATTCTTTCCAACTGTTGTCTTCAGAAAGATCCAGCGGATGTTTGGCTATAAAGCAATTGCTGGTGAAAGCATAGCAAGTATCATGTTTCTGCTGAGAGGCTGGAAACCAATGCCAGCAACCTTGTTTGCCTGATGATTCTGAAAGAAGTTCCTAGTCTAAACCCTTTAGTTCTTCAGCCACTGAAAGAAGATAGCATTTGCAGGATAGATACAGTTGCCCTACAACTACTGCAGTTCAATGCTGTTATAAATGACAGTGGGGAAGTCACACGATGCCTTGATCAGAAACTTATGGGCTACTCCATTCTCTAAGCTAGGGTAAATTGATATGGTTTGCCAGTGCAAAGCTGATCTACATGTTGCTTTCCTGATTACAGGAGGGTCTTCTATAAAAATGGGATCCCATGGTGCGCAGCATGTCTCCACTCTGTAATTACTATAAAGGAAAGCGTAATGCAGGAAAAGACACTTTTTAGACATTTCTAAGCTCTTGCAAACAGTGTTTGCAATAGCTGTCCATGATGCAGCAAGTACAAATGAGAACACTCTCAGTGCTTCATCACCAGGCAAAATACCTTAATGAAGAGCTACCCTGGGATCAGCTCCAGAATGTAATGAAAGATATGTACCTTGCACTATAAATAGAGAGTTTGTTACATTCTGTGCTGTGTTGTTAACTGGTCTTTTAATAACGATATTACAAAATGATAACTCCTACCCAGCTCTGTAGCAAATAACAATGGTTTAATACAACTGGCCAGAGAAAAGAATTCCTGCGCATTGTATTCAGGAAAACTGCTGTAGAGCTCGTGATAAGAGGAGTGGTTATTGAGGCACACTGTACGTGCATTCACACATGCTTACATATTAGTACCTTTCTTACTGTAACAGAACAATCATGAACAATCTGAATATGTTGCCAACGATTGTGAAACTATCAAATTAAATGCTGAAATATTATCCTTGTACAACCAGACATACTAGGCTCATGAGAGTAGAGGCCCTAATTAAGGAGGTAGTGAAGGTCTATATTTATAAGTCTGAGTACAAGCAGGAATATGAATAAACAATTATGTAGAGGTTTTGGAAAAACGTAGAGTATCTTTTCTCAGTATTATGAATGTATATTCTTTAATTTTCTATTATTCAGAGTACAAGCTCTCAAACAGTAAAAGTACGGTTTCGCTATACTCAAAGGTAAGACTTTGGTCTGCGTTTACATCAGCAGTCATTAAATTGCTATGTACGTAAAATGTTGCTATCCAAAATCCTTATCTATCTGAGCGTATATAGCACCACAATTGCTACCGAGTAAATCAAATGCAAATGCATTCTTCACACACTCCTCCTTTTATGAGTAATAAATTACCGATTACAAATACTGCTTAGATGACTTGCTACCAAAGTTACTTGATTTTTCTCTATCTAAATGTACGGTAATTTCTAACTTGTTTGGGGTTTCATGTAAATGTTGCATTACTGTAGCATTCATGTCTCTGAAATTCAGCAATGCAATTAAAGTGCTCAGAGCATCTTAGTTAATTTTAACAATGCCGTATTTTGCTGTACATGTGGTGCAGCAACAGATGGTAGCTGTTCTGCATGCAGGCTAGGTATATATTATTTCATACAGTATACTCTTTTGTAAAGGGATCTGTCCATGTAGTTATGTATTTTCAACAGAGGGTGGCATTGAAGAACCATTTATTGTTTCATTGCCTAATACTGCAGATGTGGAGGGCGTAGCCATTGTCTGTAAACAGGGCAGACAACGTACAAGTTCAAGGCTGAGACCCGTAGAACTGACTCCGGCATGAAAAAGTTAGATGATTGCAACTTAAATTTCAATACTGTAGATAACATTTTCTAGATAAGCTTCCTACTTGTTTCTATCTCGCAGATGTTTTTTATATATATTCTTAAAATTCTAGCTCTTAGTGCTGTTTTGAACTACATGACCATTTCCAATTGTGTAATATGTAACAAATACCAGGTCAGCTCTGCCATGAAAATAACTTGGCATCTTATTTAATTTTCTATGTCTCTGAAGCAACAAACTTGCAAAGTTTAGCAATGATTGAAACAATACTGTCTTTAGTTTAATTTACATTAGCGTGTTCCTTGTCTTTTTGAAAAGCAGTCCAAACTGTGTTCTCTCATGTTGTGAAACAACCCTGCTCAGCAGATCTGAACAGCTTAAGAGCCTTAACTCCTTTAATACATTAAGTGTTGAGCCATTACCTCTAGTGCGATACAAAGCCCTGGTTTTGTGGCCTTTTGTCAGGAATCTGGTCAACTGTGCTGAAAGTGTAAAGACGACACTCATTTTATGAGAAACACAAGAATTTTCTCCTGCCCTGTAGCAGCTGCCATAGGTGTATTAGACACTTGTAGAGCAATACTTAAACCCTAAGTCACTTAGTAATTAACATACCTGGCATGTTGTTCTGCATGGCCAGAGAGAAGCTAGTGCATTGTACTGTGCTACTGTTCAGAATGATCTTGTCCAAGCATTCTTATTCTGAAATAAAAAGCAGCAAGGATTGATTCTGAGATGTTACACACAGCTACAGTTACAGATATTTACTAAGCTTACACATCATATATTGAATGGAAAACATATAAAATATGCCATGTTTAGGCACTGGCAACTTGCTATCATTCTGCAATGTGATCTATTCCCCCTGTAGGACTTTAATTTAATATTAGAAATGTCTGTGAATAACGATGGCTTTTCCAGTGTTTTCACTGGCAGAAAGTGCTGGCGTTCTGGCACTTATAATAAAACTATTCACTCAGAGTTATGATCAGTAGAACAGAGGGGATTTTCTTGGTTAAAAATCTAATTATTCATAGATTTTAATAGAACGTAAGGCTATATTAGACTCCAAAGTCATCTGACCTCATATTTGACTTGAGCCTAATAACATGATCTTGATTTAGGTATGCATATTATGTTCTAGTGTTGAGTTAGATCAAAAAGTCCTTTTAGCCCAGTGCTTTGTCTCTGACAGCAGCAAAAAGGAGGTATGCGGGGAAGCCTCTAAGAACAAGCCAAGTTTGACTATACTTGTCCCACACTCTCTTGCTTTTAGCTGATTAGAGTTGAGAAATTTCCTGAGCCAGATATGGTTTTTACGCATTTAAAAGCTTTGTGGTCAACTCCTCTGTAGACTTGCAAAGTGTATGCTTGAACTCGTGTACTTTTAGCATCAACAATATACAGCAGCAAGAAATTCTGCAGTTTTGATATACTTTGTGAAGAATAACCTCCTTTTATTTGCTAGTCTCCTGTTAGCTTCATCTGGTTTCCCACATTTTATGTCAGAAGAAACAGCCAATAGCTGATCCCATTCATCCTCTCTATAGCCCTTATTTGACTGAACCCCCAAATCTACCATTTCTTCCAGATTGAAGAGTTATTTCATACACAATAAAGCCCTACATAGAAACCATTCCATACTTTTCATTGTCTCTGTTGCTTTCCTCCCTTAATCCAGGTGTTTTATATTCCCTTTGAAACAGGTGAACAGACTAGTTCTGAAATGTAAGAGTTTAGCAGACTGAACTCCAGTGTGTAGAAGAATGAGAGAAACCAAGCTATGCAGGGGTCCCAGATCCCTCTTCTCAACCCTGTTGTTTTCACCGTTACTCTGTAAAAAGGAATCTAGTTTGGCTGTCTATACTTAAACTGTCAACGTTTTCTTTTTCTTTCCTTTTTTTTTTTAAAAAAAATTTGCATTTAGTTTAGTTCATGGGAATCTCAGACACGATCACTGTCTTTTTGTTTTTCCCCAGTGCCAGTCTGTACTCCAGCATTTAGAAAACTTCATTCCAAAGGTCACTGTCATTCTCTCTTCAATTACTCCAGATGCTCCATGGTCATACAGGTCCTGGTGCGATACAATTACCTTGTCATCTGTAAACCATTGACTGTCCCCTGTCTAGCAGATCTTTGTACCTTGCTTTGCTGTGTGTTCTAGTCTGTACTTAAACCAGTAAAGGTCAAGTATTTTTTAAATGTGCCATTATTCTGCACTGCATGAAAGATGCTTTTAACTTTGTATGCTAGTTTTCTTGTCAGCTCTGTGTTTTGAGTCATGCCTGTATAGGACGCATTTAGTCCTCTATGGTATTGAATAGTATCTCTTTAAAATCTGTTTTTTTTTTTTTTTTTTTTTTTTTTTCTCCCCACAGCAACTTACATGTGACTACTTTTATCATGATTGCTGTTTTCCTGTCTTTTGAGTTGCTGCGTATTTACCACATTGTGTGGTATCTGACCACATAATTGCTCAAACTATTGCTATAGCTCTACTGTATTGGTTCCCCTCTGTATTAGCTCGATGTTCTTCATGCTGGTATAGCGACATATCCCCATACAGAGTTCTGGTCCTTGGCATGTTCTGAGGTCTGTTACTGAGTGAACAACAGAGCACGTTATAGGGACACCACGGCTATGGATCTTGCTAGACTGCTAGACTTGCTAGCTCTGGCTTCAGGGGGAAGCTTCCCCCATCAGCTTCCATTTGCAATTTAAATTGCAAATCACAGACACAGTCAGAAACATCCAAGTTCTAGTCCTCAGATTCAAGTTTTGAACAATGTTAGGCTGAATTCCTAGTTTAGTAGATTGGCTAGGCTATCACTGATAATAATGTAATCCTATATTCTATATGAGGTTACACAGACATCAAGAAATTGACTCTCCAAAGAAAATAAAAACAGAATTTAAACAGACATTTGAACAGAACTTACATTTTGAAAATTGATAACCCATGTTATTTGAGAACAGTCATCTTCTGTGAGCACAGAAGAAAAAAATCAGTACTGTTTAGCAACTTGCCATAATGAGGAAATATCTAAGACACAAAGATAGAAGCTTTGAGAGAATTGTTTTCCTCAGCTAATCAAGGCATCTTTGCAGCCTGCAAACACAGCAAAGCTTAAAGCTTTTTTCACAAGCTATGCTAGGATGAGACTCAAGTAGAAGAGTTCACATTCCCTCATAATGCTCTATCTTTTAACAGGAAATCATGAGGCCAACTTATCTGCCACATGAAAGCTCAGATATTTTTTGCTTTCAGTAGAAAAATTGTTTTTATGTCACATGATAGCAGTATCCATTTTCTACCACTTCTTCAGCTTGTAATTTGAATTCTCTGGCTTCTCTGCTTTCAGCTGCCAAACATTGATAGTCAAATGACTTCCACCATACCATGAAGAAACTCTTTGGAGTGTTTGTTATTCTAGTGACATATTTAAAACTTAGTATGGTAGCAGCATTTAAAGCATCTCAAGCTGTTTATAGTATATTCATTAAAACGTTGTCCTAGCACATCTATTTTCTCAAAGTCCTATGACAAGGCAGTCTTTGGCAAGCTTCTCCTTTCTTTTTAACACGTCCACAAATGGCTCTAAAATACCATTTGAAGCTTAAAACATGACAGGTTAGTTCCCTGACCCCTGCTCAAAATGCACTTCATTCACTGTTAATCTCCCTTAAAAGGGGGATTAAATGTAATGGTGGAATTTTATTAAAACTGTCTGCTGTTGAAGTCTTGAAGTTTGAGATACTGAACAGCCCTGTAAAACTCAAGCTTGAAATTGGAATTGTGCATTATTGGCTATAATCTTTCCTACATTGAGGGTATTGTTGAGAAGAGAGAATGTTATTCTGTGGATGGACCAGCATTGTGATGTGAAGTATCAGCACTTTGGTTTCTAAGGTTTATGCATATAGAGCATTCCATGATAGAAGTTTAACCTATGTTCGTGTTTGATGCTAACTAACACCTGTGACCAAAAATCCAGAGAAGTGAAGTTTTCATGGGACAGGAGACTGTAAGATTGGGTCATTTTTTATTCTTCGATCATTGATCTTGACCATTTGATTAAGAGAACTATCAAGATAACTGTCCTGATATGATTTTGATAATAATTATGGTCTGAGCTGGATTAGAATAACCTTCCCCAGTCCCTCCAACCTTAATTTTCCTACGATTGTATTTTTTGCAATGACACAGACAAAGCCTGTCACACAATGCTACTCACAATGCTGTTGATTAAACCAGTTTCCCATGATTAATCATTCCCAATTCCTCTGTCCCTCCGTCCAGAAGGGAACTACGCTCTTACACGAATCAACAGGCAATACTTTTTAACTTAGCATGCCAAGGGATGGGAGAGTAAGTGTCTGTGCATAATTTAGATGCATTTGTAGGTTGTTTGTTATCTCCTGGGAAAGTGGCATCAGCCAAACATATCAGGCATTTATTTTTACAGGCTGATAGTACAAAGTCACATCTGAACAGCTCATTTTGTTATTCCTGTTAGTTTTGTTTGTTTTAATATTACTTAAAGAAGTATTGTGTCCAGTTCTGGGCTCCCCAGTACAAAACAGACAGGGATCTCCTGGAAAGAGTCCAGTGAAGGGCCACAAAGATGATGTGGGGCCTTGAGCATCTTCCCTGTGAAGAAAGGCTGAGAGACCTGGGTCTGTTCAGCATGGAGAAAAGAAGACTGAGAGGGGATCTTATCAATGTGTATAAATACCTGAGGTGTTTACACAGAGGGATATGGCCAACCTCTTTTCAGTGGTTTGTGAGGACTGGACAAGGGGCAATGGCCACAAAATGGAGCACAGGAAGTTCCGCACCAACACGTGAAAGAACTTCTTCACGGTGAGGGTGACGGAGCACTGGAACAGGCTGCCCAGGGAGGTTGTGGAGTCTCCTTCTCTGGAGATATTTAAGGCCTGTCTGGATGCCTACCTGGGCAGCCTGCTCTAAGGAACCTGCTTTGACAGGGGGGTTAGACCCAATGATCTTTCGAGGTCCCTTCCAACCCCTTCAATTCTGTGATTCTGTGAAAGAACCTTGGTAAAATTTGGATCTTTTTTATTTGGTTCCTAACTGTAGTCAGTTTTCCTACTCATATCTTATTTTTAATGTGCTAATCTGGATTTAAAGAATAGGAAATAAGTGGGTAGTCTACACACCTTGCGTCTCATTTCTAAAACTGTTTTATAGATTCATCTTTTACTGGTAGTATGTCTTTCAGACCCAAATAGCTGTAATATAAAACGAAGAGGAAAAGGTATCTTTAAAATAGCTCTTAAAATCTCAGTTACAAAATACCCTCTTCAGTACATTTTTTAAATACCCACTAAAGAGGAACTCTCAAACTGTTTCCTAGAGGAAATATTGAAGTCTCAACAAATGTGATCAGTCAGATGTTTTTCCATCCTTCACTGGTTTTACAATTTAGCACTGAAAATGAGTAAATGAAACCTTAGTGAGGTCAGATAAAAACCAGCATATCCCTCGGTAAGTTACTAAATGACTAATGGACACCAGTTTCAATTCTTCTGGATACACTTGTGTTCCAGAACTGGATTCACTTCTGTCAGGAGTCAGTTGGATGTAATAGTAGCATTGTTTTTTCTTCTTAGAAGTAACTTCAAGCTAGCAAATTTCCTGAGCCCTGTATTTCTTAGCAACTTCCATGACTCCCAGCTCA